TGCAACCACGACGGCGACGGCAACGAGGACGTGGAAAAACAAGAGATCTAATTGGCAGAACAATAGCTCAGCACGTGCGTTTTGAAACTTTGTACATTTCTTAGCCGTCCTATGCAAAACAACAACGTGAAATCGCCAAAATTTGCGTCGTCTGCGAACCGAAACCGCGACGGCAAATTATTTTAATTTCCATTTGGAACTCAACGCTACTTTTATACGTCATGCTGAAGTTGAGCTGTAGCGCCGTATAAGACAGTAAGCTCCTGCAACCATTTTTGAAATTCTAACTAAGAGTAGAAATTCATTTTTTAATCGAAGTCTTCCTTGGCGTTGCAGTCCTGATTGCGTAAGGTCCCTATTGACAAAGCTTTAAAACCTAGACCTAGTGGACCTTTTTTTCTGAGCCAGTCGCCCGCGAAAGTGAACTCTTTACCTTTACACACCTCCAAAATCGAAAATATAACGGTTGGATTCCGCTGGAAAAACTTGACACTTCCGGGTCGAATTCCTCACCTTATCCAGGCAAAGTTCAAGTTTCCCGTCACCCGGACACTGACGACAGTCAAATGCCCGTGGCTTGCCCGGAAGGGGATGGGGGTCATGTTGAAAGTTCGAATTGATCAGAGCCCAAACTAGAAGCTAAAATTCTTTAGCTCATAATCTTATTGTAACAAATAAGTATGCAAGAATAAAATTTACTCACAAGATAGTTATATGTTCTGTTGCATGTTCTGTTGCGTTACATGAAATCGTAGTGCAACCTTGATTGCTTCTGTCGCTGAAATCAGATTAAAAGGTAAAAAAATAATAGCAACTCTATGAGTATAATAAAAGCAGTTTCCGTTATTCTGAATCTTGATTAGAATACGTCGTAGCTTGGCTTAAACGTAAGTAAATTCAGCAGAAAGAGAGCTCTGAAAAAATTTAGTTTCAACGACGCCCGTTTCCACACCTCACCTCCCAGGTAGGGACTGGGTCCTACAGGTACCTGCGTTCGAACCTTGGAAGCCACGCGTTAGAAGCGTTGTAGGATGTCGGTTTTTTTTTCTTTTTGAATCATCTTTAAAACTGTTTAAGAAGCTTCAGTGCATTCACAGTCTAATGTAAATAATTTCACTAAATTGTACAATACATTTTCGTCATTTTGTTGTTAAAAATTGCAATTCAAACAGCATTACCCTTTGATCGCATTTCCATATCTAGTTCTTCATTTTAGCGATTGCTCGTTACTGTCTCTTAAAATTCACGTTTATTTTCCGGATTTTCGATTTGATTTAGATTTTGCTCTGCAAGAAAGCTGGTACCGACTACGATGTTTTGAAGTTTCAAGTGTATACGATAATCTAGATTAAGAAAGGAACAACTGAGCTTATCACTTCTTGCACGCAATTGAGGCTTGACGTTACAATTCTTTTCAGTGCCCACATTTCTGGTAAAATTCCAGTTTATTTTCCGTCTTTTTAAATGCTGATTTACACTTTCTTGTTCAAGTGAACTGTTTTGAGCGTAAGTGTTTTTAAAGGGTTTGAAAACTTCCACGAGTGATCAAGACAGAATTTCTCCTTTCTATATCCATACTATAACAAGCTGACAAGTGATGAGCTTTGAGGCAAAAAATATCAACTACGGGTTTATGAGTTGGTCCAATACTGACCAAATTCTCCAGCTTATGTTATGAAAATCCTTTAATCTGGCCATGCACGAAATGTAAATGTGCCGTTAGTTGTATGAAAATTGTTAAATAAGGCGAAATTTCTTTTTAATAATTCCTTATTCTCAAAGCCATAAAGGTTCCTTATCTGATAAAGGTTTTTCATTACAAAAAAAAAAGAAAAAAGGAATAAACAGCACCATAGAATGATAACAATGAAGTTGGAAGGAACTCGAGAATATGAAACATTTAACCAACCAACCTATTAGCTTTGCCATGCTGTTTTTTTTTCATGTCGTTTAAGTTTCCAAAATAAAATGGGTTTTCCTCTCGAATTCCCTTTATATTTGGATGTAAAATCATAAAGAAACCTAACAAACGTTCCCTTCCGCGTTCAATATTGGGCCGCACAGTATTTTTCTGTTCAAAGAGTTCCTGTCTTGTAAATGGCGCTCATGGCGAATTTACCCTTCAGTTATACGACGCTGTTTGAACTTCGAAGGTGTTCCTTACCAAACACACGAAACATGCACCTTAGATAAATAATCCGTTTGCTTTTGGTTTACAGGAACGAATTTGAAATATTCTCGCTTGAGAAATTCATGACTGTTGACGCGTATTCAGTTAAGTTGTGGATACGCATATTTAACTCACACAGTTGTTGAATTCCCTTCAGGCCGAATTTCGCAGATTTTCTCTTCTTTGGTTACGGAGACGCTAAGCAAACACAGCAGCAATACGAAGTACAGTGTCATTTTCTTCTTTGTTATAACCTTGAATCCCTGCTGAGGGCGGCACACCTAAAAGTAAATAAGATTTTTCAGAAATTGTTAAGCGCTTCACAAAAACGAATTCAACATTTATGAAGTACTTGAGTGTAATACTCACCAACAAGCAATTCTCGCTTAGAGTAATAATAAGATCTAGGAACATTTCATTTTCTTTGGAAGACAACTGACTAAATGTTAAAGCAAACGAAAACAGCGCGATCTGAAGCGGGGAGAACTCGACTGAACTATTCCCCGCTAGCATTATTTGAGTGTAAGAGGGTTTTCTTGAATTTTATTATTATGACCTTAATACATGCAAGACCAGAACGACTCTTGTTAGCACAAAAGCAATTTCCTTAGCGCGTCAAATGTTGAATTAAGGTACAAAAATGGCTATGATGATAAATGGACCCGCTTTGCGTGAGATAATTTCCGTGCGAGAGTTCCTAATCAAGATTATTATCAAAAGATAAGATCGAGTTTAAGAACGTCCGTGCATTACGGGGAATATTTCCTCCAGTGCATATGCGTTGGAGTCAGTATTCTATGGTTTCTTTGTTCTTTATATTAATATGCAAATTTGGTGCGTGAATCTAAACAACAAGTACATGATTATAAGGTGTTAAATTATATGATAGATTTATTTTTCGTTTTGTTTCCCACAACTTAGTCTTTGTGGGCGCGCAATGGAATCTTCAGAAATTACCAGCATAAAGTGCATCTGCTCTCATCCAACTGGGGAAAAGAAAATCTAATTCAGAAAGCTACACGAAAAAGCAAAATTTTCGTTTTTTGATGTTACACGATTTTTCTTTTTTATTTGGTACATAATTGTAAAAAAATGTGTCAAAGATTCATCAAAGCATCTTATGTAGGATCAACATGGAAATACTGGTAATCCTTTAACTTCGAGTATAGATTAACATTTAATTTCTTCTTACGACATTGATACCTTATTATCTGCCTAGAGCGGTTCGCGCCGACCTATAAAATCAACCAATCAAATCGCGGTATTACCTGACCGCGCGGGGCCCTATATTATTTTGTTACTTTCGGACTGGAGGCCCGCTTCTCGAAAGTCCCGGTAACTTAGCGAGCCCGAAGCCATGTTTTAAAATCAAAATTTAAAGGATAGGTAAGCGCTTTATGGCTCTCAAACCAGTCCTTTTTGTTTCTTTGGCTGATAGTTTTTATTGCATCATTTTCAAAACTTTTGAAATCCCCATCTTGAATGAAAAACAGAACAGCTCTACGAGCCTGTTAAGTTACCTGGAGAAACAATCCCCGGGTAGTCTCCCGAATTATTCCGCGCGAAAAAGGTTTTTTTTTTTTCGTATCAAATCAAGATGACGGTTCAAGTGAAAGCTCTTCCTTACAGGAATACAAGAATGATCACATAGATTTGTCGCCTCCTTATCAGTTTCGAATGAGAAAAAAATCCGACCAGGAAGATCACCCTTCCGAACAAATATTCTGGTAGCAGATAAACCTTTCCAGTTATTGCCCTGACGAAGGGAAATAGCTCGAAACGTCAGTTTGAGAAATTCTTTACGATGGACTTTTTACGTTTATCAACTCCGTCAGTTGATAAACCAAATTATAAAGCAGAATCTGTTGACTTCCAAGCCAAGTTTTACGTAATTTGGAGACTGCCTAAACCGGTAAATATCATTATTTAATTTACGGTGCAATTTTTAACTATAGCTACGATAAGACTTGACAATGATTCAAATATCTTTCGTAATTTTGCAAGGAAATCTGCAAAATTATCTGTCTGGTAAATGAATTGAGGCCCGAGGCCGTTTTTTTTCCATGGGTATGGCCTTGGTTTTTTTTTTTTTTTTTTACACCCAAGAAAATCGATCTTGTTTCGCTTCCATCGGCTTCTTGTTTGGATAAAGCAGTGGCCTTTTACTAAAACGTTTAGAGCAGGAAGCAACTTCTGGGTAAATTTTCCAATGTTTTTAGATCAGTAAGAGAAAGGTGCAAAAAAAATTACCTATATAAATTCAATCTTGATGTCTGAAAAAGTTCTTGATAAGAAAATAACATTGTTTTCTGAAGGAGTGCTTTGGGGTATGATTGTCATTGAGTCCTTATTGTTCTAGGAAGACACAGATCTGAGTTGATTTCACTTTTTCAAATTGAGATCTCATTTTAGATGTAGTGAAAATTTGTCAGCCCTAGAAAGTAATTACATTTGCCACTTTCGCAAAGCATTACTTAGCACGCGGTGCTTGCCTGTCAAGCCTTCCCATGACAACTTCTCAAACGCTGTCCTCACTGAAGGAAAAATTCTTAAGAAAAACATTAATTACTTTCATGTATTTGACATATGACTGAATACATGAGTAGCACTGGTAAATAAAAAACTCTGTATTATTGATTGTGTTCGTGAAAACAGTAATGTTTTCGCCTGTACAAAATTGCAATATCGAAAATGTGTCATTGAGACAGGTAAATGAAGTTATGCTTGACGATTAGAAAGTTTCTCTCTTTACAATACAGATTAAATTCAGGATTCTTGATCAAACTTGACTGAAGCGTGTCCGGTAAGAAATAATTAAGACGTACTCCGATTCAACCTTTGGTTAATTGCACCGTTCTAACTTGAGTAGCACTTCCCTTTGGATATGGAACGCCAAACTTGCAAAACAGAATGGACGATACGCGATATGTATTGAATGCATTTGACGAAACCAAGAGTGGACTTTACAGCCTGCTACGAATTAAATTCGATATGACACTGTAATGAATTGTGTACAAATCTACAGATAGCTTGGCTTTAAATTGCTTCTCGCAAAAAAGACCCTTCCGAATGGAGCGCACATGTAAAGACAACCGTTTTTGAAAGCGGAACCTAATACCTTTCACAAATTTAAAACTTCGTTATAATCCGGTTTTGAAATAAATTATGTTCAAATTACAGATGACCTTGTAGAAATATATATGAATAGACAGAGAAAAGCCGACATACAGAGTTGAGTATTCGTATACAGCAGCAAGGTAAATTTGTAATTGTTCCGTTTTGTATCGTGTTATGCAACATTTACAGACAATTTGCCATTAAAACAAATTGAAATTGCTCTGTGCAAAAAAAAAAACTCATTATTTCCGCGAACTGAGCCGACAGTCATGCAAAAGCATCCTTGAGAAGCATGATTTAGACTCTTCTTAAGAACAGATTCGTTGTTGATGGTTTTTTGTAACGGGTCATTTCACATCAAAGACGGCTTCCTATAAAAACATATTAATGAAACTAACTATATTGAGTAAAAAAGAAAATCCTTATGGTAAAATTAGTCCAAATTTTATACAGCAGTTTTCACGGCCGACGCTTTCCAAAAGTGTGCTTTGTTGCATATTAGTACAACCACCTATTTGGGTTGAAAATTTAAAGCTGAGAAGAAAATGAAATAGGCGTATTTTAGGGCGTAATCTTGGACAACCACTGCTATATGGAACATTAGTCAGATATTGCAATATGTGCGATTTTTGCACTTCGTTTGGACAGGAAAATAGCATGACATTTATTGCGCGTAGAACTAAATGGCTTTTGCGTTTCGTAAATTATGCAAAATTGCGCATCTTTTGATTACAAATAATTCCTTGTATAATATCTATGCCAGAATAGGAAAGAAAATGTGAAACGATTACCTGGTATGGAAAGACGATTTAGCCAACAAAAGGATGGAATTAGGATTTTTGTCGCGGACTCAATTAATTCAAGCGAACAATTCATCCAAGTTGGTCCATGTACTCAACGCAGCTCTGCAACTAAAGTCGTCAAACTTGGTAGTTTGGTAAAAATGATCGCATTGTCGCTATAGAATTTGATTGGTGGAGCAGTTTGCGTAGATTCTAACGCATGTGTCAGCGTGTAAATTATAAATCAAATAAACTGCAGCTGGATAAACGAGTTTGGTCCAAGTAAAATAACCATGTTTCTAAGAGAAATATCATGAATTGCCTAAACGTGACAAGCGCTTCGCAAACTTCATTTTACAGCTAATCGAGACGTGACTAATTTAGGTATTCCTTAAGAGGTTCTCAAATAATACGGCAGGAATCGAAATGTTCAAATTGGACTCAAAAGTGAAGTTTTGTTGCGCAGAATTTTCACCGTTATGTGAGATCGGACAAAACATTGACACCTTTATGTTTCGGATCATTAAAGCGGACTCATTTTACAAATGGTCCAGGAAAACAAACCTTTAAAACCATTTTCAAGTGTAACACCTTGCAGTCATGATATCCCGCCTCCAAGTTTTAGTTGTCTGGTTCTCTGACGCCTTAGGAAGTTATAGCAAATAGACTTGGCCAAGGGTTTCACGGAAAATGAAAACCCGGAAATTGTGAATGGCAACTTTGTCTTCCGCAATATTGGATATTAGACGTTTGGCCTACAAGTGCGGTAGTATTTGTTCAATTTTGTTTACTCGCGACAGGTTTGGTTGAAGAAAATTTGAGATGTGAGAAGTTTAATCCGATTCGTGCTACTACAGTCGTCAGGCAAACAATTAATCAATTGTAGCAAAGAAGTTTCAAATTGAAACTTTAGACAAGCTTTTAAAAGTACGCTTATTATTTTTGGAGTGCAATTTGCTAAAAGAAGCGCAACGGCCAATCGAAAGGGTAATAATTATCTCAAGGAGGGAAATAAGAACTCCGAGTACGGTAGCAGGCATGGGGGTGATCAGACCGACCAATTATAAGGTGCGATAAGTATCTATATATCACTCTGTACCTGATTGGTAGAGTGGATGACGCCAATTTACTGGACCAATCATAGAGTTTACTCCCGGCTGCTCCCTCCGGCACAATTCAGAAGAACTTTATGCTCTAGATAATTCCATATCACAATATTCTGAGGGTTAAACTTTTTCACTTTATATGAAGAAAGTTCTGTTTGTTCTAAGCTAGAAACCACAGGAATTATTTATTGCGTTCAGTACAGCTTTTGAACTTAGTAGGTACCAAAAGAATCCCGAGAAGGAAAGACTGCATGTATATTCAAGGATGAGTTGGTCTTATCAACTGAGTTGATAGGGAATTTAAGCAAACCATGACGGCGACGGCAACGAGAACGTGGAAAAACAATAGATCTAATTGGCAGAACAATAGCCTAGCACGTGCATTTTTAAACTTTAATTTGCACATTTCTTAGCCGTCCTTTGCAAAACAACAACGTGAAATCACCAATTTTCGCGTCGTCTGCGAACCGAAACCGCGGCGGAAAATTATTTTACTTCACATTTGGAACTCAACGCTACTTTTATGCGTTATGTTGAGTTTGAGGTCTGGCGCCCTATGAGACGGTAAACACATGCAGCCATTTTCGAAATTCTAACTAAAAGTAGAAACTCATTTTTTAATCTACGTCTTCCGTGGCGTTGCAGTCGTGACTGCTTAAGTTCCCTGATGATGTGAAGTGGCCGCCGGCAAGATGTTTTTCAAAGCTGATGTTTCGAGCGTTACCCCTTCGTCATTCACTCCAACGAAGGGCTAAAGCTCGGAACGCTAGGATCTCCTTCAGTACATTATTGATTTAGTTGATCAAACCAACTTATCTTGTAATACTCCCTTCCCCCTCGAATTCTCGCAAAAGCCACAAGCACGAAAAACAATAAGCTACTATCATTAATTAAATTGCGTTTAAATATGTATGTAAATTTACAACGTATTTCAATACATCGAATTTGCTCTCGATCAAAGAACCGTCCGCCTATGGGCACCTCTTCAAATGTAAAATTTTGTAAACTTGTAAGTTTTTATTGTTTGTTGGCGATTTCAAAAGAACCACGGTACATTTGTTATTTTAACACGAAGCCTACTCCAGCCCGGCCTCCCTAGAAGAAAAATATATGATAATTGCACCTTGATAAGTCATGATGGTGACTTTTTAGTCTCTAGGATGATCAGCAATACTGTGCTATATACGCGGCACCGTAACTGTTAAGTACCGGTGTGGACCCCTTAGAAGAGAACAATGTTTCGATTATGTTACAAAAGAACGTAACTAACCGAGAAATATTTGAACAAACAATTTTTGTACGATTTAGGCTACAGAATTGCAACCTAAGTTCGTTTACGGAACTAACTCAAAACTTCATATTTTTGTTTTGTTTTGTTTTTTTCTCGCTATTCAATTTTTGTTTCTATAGATATCAAGCAGCATTTAAGTTTAATGTCGCAAGTCTTTTATGTATGTACCCCACGCTTCTGATTTTGAAACAAAGCTAACACAAACCATAATAAGAAAAATATTTTGCATCTTCAATAATTGAAACAGTTTAGCGGGCTCATTATTAATTTATGTCAATTTTTTCAATGTTGGAAGAATCACCATGCATTTAGAATATATGTTTTCTCTTTGCAATATTAATGATAAGGTGTTTACCAAAAATTTACCAGCCACCTCTAAGTCTTACCGAGACAATTTGTTAGTTTTAACTTTAATTTTCATTTTAAGAGAACCTGGGTCCTTAAAATTCTGTTTGTTTTTTAGCAGGTAGTCATGGCAAAATTGCTAGTTGACAGGCCAAGAAGGTTCATTTTTTTCACTCAGTAACATAAAAGGAAGGTGTTCACCGTATTGTGGAAACAAAAAGTGATTAACCAAACTAATCATGCATTGATCACTGACACCTCTCTTTAACGACCCAAACTAAAAATAGTTTTAAAAGTCTTTTTAAGAAAATATGTTATTCGCATCATTTCAGGAAGCAGGTGTTTCTTCTAAGTGTTCAAAATTGTTCTCAGTCAGCTTTGGTATCATAATTTTTATCATTTCACTTCTTTGTACAAGCAGCCTAAGATTGCGAAATGAATCTGGCAAAATAAAATCATGTTATCTAACATTTTTTGAGACTTGTTTTTATGTCATTGTGCCCATTTATATATGCGCACTATCGGCGCGCATCATTTGTTCGCCATACTATTCTTCATGGCACTTCCTATATATTGCACTGACAAGAAGAAGCTATATCAAGAACTCCTTAGGTGACATCATTTCTTTTAATCTCGTGACCTTATTGTTCCATTCAACGCTGACACTGCAAGGAGAAATCATTTTAAAAAGTTAGGGTTTAAAAGGTTCAAGTTAAGTGAAGCATTCATCCGAGATATTTCATGATCAAGCTCGATATTTGCAATTCGTTTCAATCTTTTCCAGCCAACATCCTTGTTCTTTCTTAGTTCCAAAACATATTGTGGTTTTTCTTTAAGTCAGAGGTCGGTTTTCCAATCCCCCTCAGTAAAGGACAAATTCAACTTCAAATATCCCAGTACATGAAGTCATAACTGATGTTTTAAAAAAAGCGATTTGGATCATAAATGAGCGAAAAGTAGCCTCGATGACCCGTTTTGATCGTAGTCACGAAATTCACGAGCAATTCAACGCGTTTTTTTTTTTTTACGCTCGCAACGAAAAGCTTTAGATACACTTTGAGTATAAACACTCTCCAATGACTTGTAAACTGGTCGTCTATTAGATCTAAAATGTCATTGAGATCTTATTGTGAATATTGCTAGCCGCTAAGGTAGCTAAGTTTGGTGTGCCTTCGATAGCTGTTTTACACTAGAAACACTAAACAACGATTCCAAAATGTTCACCGACATTAGTCATATGTGAACCGCATTCACCAAATGGAAGCGGTATATTTCTTGCAGCATGAATGTAATTTTATAAGCAAAATCCAGTCTGGGCTGCTAGCGGCCTTTCTTTTACGATGTATTCTGTCTGTTCATACCACCTGTCGCGAGAACAAAGCCTTTTAAAACATTAAAAGATATTAATTCGAGCGCCCTTTCTGGAAAACTTATCAAAAGAGTCTTCGAATTTAACGCAAAGTGGCTTCTTCTCGAGCTATGCTGACCTGAAGTGACATCAGAAACTCCTTAAATTACATTATCTCTTACGAGAGATACATTTTCTCCTGTGGTAGATCCACGAATAAAATGCATTTTATGCAAGCATAAGTGCTCTACGGATCTATGGCGCCATTGAACATTTGCATTGAATACCTTGGATGTTACTTTGCATGCGAATTTGTCACCCCAACTAGTCATTGCGATCCTCGCAGCTTTTATCTCGTTCTTTCAATTTGTGTTTTAAATCTTGGTATATACTCACATTATCTCAAAGCTTCCTTTAATTGCAAAGTAATTTCGAGGAACGCGATATATATTCAAACTTCAAAATAAACACCAGGTTTCCTAGGCTTTTGCACACTCAATGGATCAGCTATAATTGCCATCTCCCATTAAAACTAAAGAAAATCAATATTACGTCTAAAGATCTGAAGACTTCCTTCACAAGAGGCTTACAAAGAAACTACGTAACTTAAAACAGCGTTTTAAACTTCTCTACGGATGTAATGATAGCTTCTTTTTTTTTCATTTTCCTCACAAAACATCTTTGAACGTAATCGAACTTGGGGGCTAAGTAAGATATCTCACCAACGAAATGCCAAGAATCTTAAGAACATCGGTAGAAAGTTTTTTCAATTTTGGCGAATTCTTTGCACACATAACAGATACTGTCTGAAAATATATAAAATATCTACGAAATGTCGATAGATTTCTAATCTTTACCTGGATATATGTAGACAAATTGTGCCTGAGTTTTTTAGTTGAGCGTATAGAGAACTTTTCCTGTTTAATGGCTCGAGAGAGACTGTCTACGATATTATAGCCTAATGGTCATATTAATTCTGCAATTAAAAAGCCGCATTTAATTTTGAGTTTCAGAAGTTTTCCCCCGCTTTTCAAGTTCAATCACAATGTTTTTGTTCAATGTTCAATGTTTTTGAAAAATTTAATTTTTTTTTTTTTGTGTGGCCAACCGTTTTTCGAAAAATATACTTTGCTTTGATCGAGGTTGTCGAATTATCACAAAATGTGATACGTCTCGGCGATAGCGGTTTCCTTTTAACAAAACCAAAAAACAGCTGCCACCGCAACTTCAGAATGATTAGCGAAATACGGACGCAAAACAACTCTTAAGTGGTCGGAAAAATATTCTCTCACATTTTTTAGATCTTGCAAGTAAGTAAACAAGTCAAAGCTAAATCATACATTTGAGTTTGTAGTTTTCCGCTTCTTCGGCGTCAGAATTTCTTATATATCCATGGCATGATCAATGATTCTGAAAAATAATTGAAAATCGAAGAGAGGCCTATTGAATTCTGAGCAGCTTTTATTGCGATTGCTAATTCATACAGAACTTTCTGAATAGCTTGATTCAAGTATTTTAAAAATATTTTGCGAATGGTGGGTTCAGTAATTACTCCTTATTCTTGCTTAATTCTAAACCTATTCAGTGACTGCTTTTTCAATTGAAGACTAACTTGAAGACATTAAAGTCAGCTTTGTAAACGTATCACTCAAAACGAGTTGGTAATTATTTAGGTCGCGATGTTACCGATCACGCATGCGTAAAATCCTGTGTAGGTGTAAAGAGTATTGGTTTGAATCTAAAACTATCGAGGAAGAAATACAGAATGGCGCCACCATGTAGAACCCAATCAATTGACCCCAATTCTCGGAGATATACTGCAGTCAGTGATCATCGAATCAAGTTACTTACTTATATGGTTCCACAGTCGTTTCTTTCTTGCCTATCTTGGAAAGCAAAAAAGACACTGTAATGCCAAGAGGTACCCGTGAGATCTCTTAAAGATTGCCACTGTCTCTTTATTTTTCATAAATTGAGGATCGTCACTGTTTCCAAATCATTTTGGCTTCGCTATGTTCTCTTCTAGCCAAGGTAAACAAACAGTAGAAAAACAAAGGAGAAAACGAAAAAACTTGTTAACAGATGAAAGGTAATTTACATAAGTTTTCTGCTAAGAAGTGACTTTGATATATACCTAGTTGGTTCCACATGACACTCGCATTTAGCGCAGAAAAATATCAAAGAACTAAACGCTTCAACACGATACGAGTTGAAATTTTAAGGGTAGTCTCTGAAATTACAGTAAGCAAATTCTAATTATAAAAACAGTTTCTCGAAAACGAAGTCACGCAGTGCTAATTAGTTCTGCCGCAATAGCGCCGTTTCTGGATTTTCTATAAGGCTTGGTTACAAAGGCTTTTAGTGTGCTTTTAGTGCGAAAACTGCAGTTAAGTGGTGAATTCAATCAAGAACCTTTTAGAATTTTCTTTTGGTAGGTGTAAGTGCAGTATAAGGGAGAACTTTTTAATTTTCTTTTTGAGTAGCGCTGTAAAGTTGGATCGAGTCTATATTCAGTTGAAAATCGAAGTGTTCTGCGAATGACACCAATCTTTTTCACTTCAACCGAATATTTCATAGGGTACGAAAATTCAGCTGCTTGCACTAATCGATCTCTTACGAAACGTTAAGTAACAGAACTTTTCTTAGTTTAGATTCGATAGAGCTTTTTTTCAGGCCTAACCAAACAGAAAATGTTCTTTAGGTAAACAATCCAATTTCGCATAAATTTACTTGAATTTGCAACCGAGTTTTAGGCTCATAAAACCCACGTAAATGACTCCACTCGAGGTTTAAAGGATCTGCTTTATTCCAACCGATCTATTCAAGATAGCATGTCCATCGACATCTGTAAAATATATTTCCTTCCGCTAAGAATTTTCTTGTACTTGTGTGTCTCACTCAAGGTCGTCTTATCACATGAAGTATCTGATACATATTGCGCATCCCGCATAGCATTTTACGTTGTATCAAATCACGCGGAAAAGATCACGTTGTTCCTAAATTTGCGATAGTTAGGGTATTCAGGAACTTCTGGTGGCTTAACGCATCGTAACGCAAATGGACGAAAATCTCTAGCATGCACAATGATATGTGGTTTGTATGTTTCGATATCACTGATTACTCTTCAACTCGAAACATTTGTAACATGGGTACTCCGGATCAGGCGATACCCTCGAAATTTTTAACGATATTTTGTAAGATTCAGGTAACGTTAGACCGAAAACGCAAGTGTATAAAATCACGATTGAAAACGATCGAAGAAAGTTCCTGACTGGATACATGATTTTTCTCCACAAACTTCAAAGCGAATATGTAAGTAACATGATCAATATTTTTAACCACAACATTTATTTTCATGTCAGTTTTCTGATATTAATCTTAAAAATAAAATAGCTGACATCAATAACTAATGTCGCAGACTAGAAGGTGAATTGGCTTACGTCGAGAATCTAACTTGTCAGCTTATGACAACACACAAAAATAAACGGTGGTTGATTTTTAGGGAAAACTATATAATTCTGTCATTATGCCATTTCGCTTTAAGACAGAATTTACCAACCGATTGTTCAACGCAAATTCAGAACATCGTTCGGTTTCGAAAAATTTTTTCGTGATAACATGACTTACTGAACAACAGAAAACTTTTTTTCAAAGGCAAGGCGAAGAAAAACTCGGTAGCAAAATGGCTGAACACTCTTAAGTCAAAAAAGTGTCATTTTGCTTACTACGACCAATAACCTGGTGTTCTGTCTTTTTGCCGCGGAAACAAGATGAGATCATCATAATCGTTTGGATACAACGCAAAGCTAACTTACCTTCTGTTTTGGTAGCTTAGCTTTCAGAAACGAACCATTTCAAACCCGAAGTGAAACCACGTGCAATCTGGTTTTCGTTTCGATAACACCGCTTTTAACAAGGAAATGTCTACGTGCAATCTGGTTTTCGTTTCGACAACAACGCTTTTAACAAGGAAATGTCTTCCAGTTTTGCCACAGAAGTTTGAATTAACACCGTTTATAAGACAGATTTGTACTGCGAATGGCTGTCTGCCCGAAGCACTAATAATAAGCTGAATAAATAACGCGATACATTGTTTTTTCTTTCCCAACAACGCATAACGACCGCAGGATACAGGTGTTTTTTAAGGTCTGACACGCTAAATTATCTAGTGATCACAGATATGGCCATGAAATACCCTTCTTCTTTACAAATAATACAAACCTCCATTTGTGCTAAGTCCCTAGAAAAAACAATTTGACAAGAAACTGTAATGGATTTAATTTAGATGTTTTTCGGGGGCTCAATCCAAAATTAGCATATTATATAATTGATTATGGTTGTATCTGATTTCAGAAATTACCAATGTTTTACAAGAGACGCTTATTTTCTTTGCTGACATATTTAATGGAGCAAAATAAAGCGAATGTAGGTATTTCGGCAACGATTCTTCTTAAAACTGAAAAGCATATTCCAGCACAATTTCGCAAAAACTTTCATTATCGACAAATCTTTGTAGGCGTTATGTTTGTTTCAGCTCTAATTAGTTTCACAAGTGTATTTCAGGAAGCATTTACACCTCTAGAGCTGGCAAGAATATTGTTTCATTCGTTTGTTTAACTGACCTCCCCGGTTCACCGACGTGGGGATCGAAAACGGCATGTTTCAAACACATTTCGATTCCATTCAAATGATTACAATTGCAAACAAGACACAAAAATGTTTGTCTACATGTCAAATTTCCTTGTTAATTACTAAGCCAGATCAAAATTATGATATGGCTTCCATGTGGATACCGTTGCCTTATCAAGGCGTGTCAGTTCATTGAATTAGGTTTGTCTTTGCCCGTTGTGAGGCCTGTCACGGCGTTTCCATATATTTTTGAAATGAAAAGAAAATTTGAAGTTTGAGCTGGTCTCCTGCTGCCAAAATAAGCAAATATCTTGTAAACATAGCATCTGTTACCTATCAGCTGGTTTTGAAAAATTTCATTTGTTCCAAATCGAGCTGGGATGAAAATTAATTTTTCGATTCTATCAGGTTTTGACATGTACTTGGTTAATTGATTACTATGCCCAGCCAAATTGGGAAGTGAGTGTAACTTGTTTTCACGATAACCCTAATTACCTAAATCTCATTTGTAGGAATAAAAAGGGTGCTTTTTCTTTTCTTTTTTTTTCTTTTTTTTTTTTTAGGTAACTCTTGCTGACAGTGGCAGATGGATAATAATGTACAAGAAGCGCATATGGGTTGAAATCCTACATACAAGAAAATAAATGAGTCTGCATTATTGAAGCTGAAAATCTAAACTGCTAGAGGATATTTACGAGCATTTTGAAATTCATATTCTAAATTTTACAATCTTTGTCTCCCCAAGAGGAGAACGAATCAAAAAAACTTAGTCTGATGAAATTGGTTGATTCATCGTATGTTGACCAAATTGCAAAAAAAAAAACATTTAAATTTATAAAATTTGCTCCTTTTGAATAATTATCCGCCCTTTGTCTTACCTCTATGACACAAGAAAGCGTTGAGTTTCTGTTTCGAGTTCTACTGACACTGCAGTTAGTAAATCTTCGTTAAGAAAATCGTTACAAGCAAATTCTGAAACATATGACGACAACGATCAGAGAGATTATCGAACACTCAAAAGCCATCCGAAATAGTTTCGGAAAACAGCCGTCTCAGCGAGATGAATACGCGGTAAGTTATCTTTTTATGCGACTTTATTGACGCAACTCGCGGGCTCAAGAACTCAGTGTAATAGACAAAAGCTGAGCTGGAATCATCTTAAGTCTGGGCTTTTAGAGATCTTGTGATTTCGGGGAACCGCAAAAAGCACCTGGTCTTCTAGGGATTTGCAATTCCTTCGACCCCTAAGTGTGATTAGCATCTAATTTCTCCTTACAAGATCATCTTTGAATCTGAAACATTAA